TCGAAGAACTTCGAGAGCTGGTGCATCCGGATCGAAGCGCTATTCGCCGGAAAGCAAATGAGTAATGTACTAACGGATGAGTACCCAGAAGAAACAGCGGAAAGATACATCACATTCCAGAAGAATGATAGGATGGGCATGGCAATTATTATACAGACAGTCGGCGACGAATACCTGCGGTTGATCAAGGGTAAGACATGTAAGCAAGCAATGCAGATGCTGAAACAACGCCTTGAGAGAACGGGGGCACTAGGAAGGCTGTACGCGCGCCGTGAGTTCCAGTCGCTGAAGCATGAGATGCGCGATAACCTCTCAGCGTTCATGATAAAATTCGACAGCTGCATAGAGCGCATGGAGAGCGGAGGCCTTACAATAAGCGAAGAAGAGAAAGTGACCCAGCTTCTAATGTCGATGCCGGGAGAGTTCAATAATGTAATCACGGCAATCGAAACCATGGCAGCTAGAGACAGTACCATCTCAGCTGAATTCGTAAAGAACCGCCTCCTGGACGAGGAAATAAAACTGAAGAAGGGGCACACATCAGATCACGGACGAGACGTGGCTTTCCTAACCTGCTACAACTGCGGTAAGCCAGGACACATCAAGAGAAACTGTCGGCGCAGACAGGGCACAGGCTACAACAGGAAACGCGGCGATCGAGACCATCCCGAGTACAACGAGAGGCGTACGACGGAGAGACAGCAGCCGGGAAATGCGCGTGACACGCAACCAAGACAGAGGGACAGATTCAACCACCCGAGGCGGAACGACAGAGAAAACTCGAGCGGCAAGGCGCGAACGGCCGACGCAACCCGCGACGAAGAAAGCGCCGTTACATTCTACTCACAGGTGGACGTGGCATACGGTAACGCAGAGGAGAAAGGTATACATTTCATATTAGACTCGGGCGCGAGTCACCACATGATTAATAAGGAACTGTTCGACCTTACGTACAATCGGAGGAAGCTAACGAAACCGATCGACGTCACGGTGGCTAAAGTGAATGAGGCCATTACGGTCTCTGAGATAGCCGACATAAACCTGAACTACAAAGGTCAACTAATCAAACTAACCGATGTACTGTGCGCTACCCAACTAGGACGTAATCTCCTGTCTATCAAGCGACTAGAAGCCAAGGGATCCAGGTGGACTTCAGAAATGGCTGCGGACACATATACAGAGGAGATGAACTCATCGCGCAAACGACCCCCGGGAGCCGATTGTACGACATTACATTTAAAGGTGCGTCGAAGTCAACGAGCGATCGGGCAAACATGGCGCTGACCGGTGATCCAGCAATATGGCACCGACGGCTAGGACACTCGTGTGCAGTAAAACCAGACGGGGTATGCAGAACATGCATTGAGGCAAAAATGAGTAAGCAACCTCATACAGGAACGAGGCCAAGGACAAAACAGGTACTCGACAAAATTCACGTTGATTTGTGCGGACCTATAAGCCCGATAGGTATAGATGGAGAGAAATATTTCTTAACAATTGTGGATGACTACTCACATTTTACAGCCGTATATCCAATCCGAAGTAAGGGCGAAACGTCCAAGAAGTTAGAAGAATTCAAACATAAGTACGAGAGCAAGTTCGGAACACACATTAAGATCATACGGTGCGATGCAGGTACCGAATTTGTCAACAACACAGTAAGGAAGATATTCAAAGACGCTGAGTTTGAGATCGCACCGCCGTACACACATGCACTAAACGGCGTAGCTGAACGTGGAAACAGAACAGTAACCGAGATGGCGAGAGCCATGATAATCGACAAAAACGTAGAGAAATACCTATGGCCCTATGCGGTCATGTACGCCGCATACATCCTGAATCGCATACCGAGTAAGGCGATAAACGACGAAGTTCCGGCAGCAAGAGCAAATATCGAAATAAACTACGCGAAGATAAAGATCTTTGGATGTGACGCCTACAGCCTCATCGAGAAGCCGTTTAGAAACCGATTCGACAGCAAGACTAGGGAGATGAAATTCGTTGGAATGACAAACACAGGGTACAGAGTCTACGATTCTTCGAACCGAAAGGTGTATACGAGATCGGACATAAAATTCATAGAATCCGATAAAGAGGAGCGTACACGTAGGGTGGAGATAGATCTTGTACCGGACGAAGACGACGGAGGCACTCCAGACGATAGCAACCCCAGAGAAACAAACGTGGATGGAACGGAGAAGCATGAGAACAACGGAGAAAAGCAGAAGAGCCAGCCGGACGAGAGGAAGATAAATGAGAGCCCAGAAAGGACATTACCTGCTCGAAGCAGAGCACCACCACTGAGATACGGAGATTATCGAGTACATCTAACAGAGGTCGAAGAGATGGACGACGAAGATGTAACATATGAAAATGCAATAAGAGGTGGATGGCAAGACGCAATCAGCAGCGAAATAAACAACATATCGGAAAACCAAACGTGGGAAGTCGCGGAAGACGATGGTCAACCTCGTATAGACGCTGTATGGAAATTCAAGAAGAAGACGGACCCAGACGGAAAAACAGTCAAGAAGGCAAGACTGGTCGCGAGAGGGTGCAAACAGAACAGAGATGAAAGCGCCTACGCACACGTACCGGGATCTACTACAGTGAAAGTCTTTCTAGCGATCGTCGCCAACAGACAGCTAAGAATGGAACAGCTC